AAAACACCTTAAATATGCTTATTTAGGTGAAAATGAGACTCTACCTGTTATCATTGCCTCACACCTCGAACCAAATGATGAGAAGAAGCTTTTGAGAGTTCTAAAAGAGCACAAAACCTCAATTGGGTGGAGCATTGCAGATATCAAAGGCATAAGCCCAACACTGTGCATGCACAAGATATTATTGGAAGACAACGCAATGCCTAAGAGGGATGCCCAAAGACGTCCTAATCCAAACATGAAGGAGTTGGTAAGGAAAGAGGTAATGAAGCTTTTAGATATTGGTATTATTTACCTTATATCTGATAGTAAATGGGTGAGCCCAGTGCAAGTTGTCCCCAAGAAGTCAAGTATCACAGTGGTGAAGAATGAAGCAAACGAGCTTGTACCTACACGGGTGACCACGGGCTGGAGAGTTTGCATTGATTATAGGAAGCTCAACACAGCAACAAGCAAAGATCACTTCCCTCTTCCATTCATTGATCAGATGCTTGAGAGATTGGCTGGCCATAGCCACTATTGCTTCCTTGATGGATATTCAGGCTAAACCCTATAGCCCTAGAGGATCAAGAGAAGACGACCTTCACATGTCCCTTTGGCACTTTCGCTTATAGGAGGATGCCTTTTGGTCTCTGTAACGCCCCAGCCACTTTTCAAAGGTGCATGATGAGCATTTTCTCCGACATGGTAGAAAGGTTCATTGAGGTATTCATGGATGACTTCTCTGTCTTTGCTGATTCTTTTGATCAATGCTTGCATAACTTATCCAAGGTGTTAGCTAGATGTGAACAGACTAACCTTGTGCTTAATTGGGAAAAATGTCATTTTATGGTTAACCAAGGCATAGTTCTTGGTCATGTCATCTCTAGTAAAGGAATCGAGGTAGATAAAGCTAAGATTGATTTGATTGCCTCTATGCCCTCACCTACTTCTGTCAAAGAAGTGCGTTCTTTCCTTGGCCATGCAGGTTTCTATAGCCGTTTCATTAAGGAATTTTCTAAGATTGCGAGGCCTTTGTG